AGATAAAGGCAGGGCTTGACGCTAACTTTTTTCCCAAGGAGCACATGTGCTCCTAAGTTGAAAAAGTAAGGAGCACACAAAGAACTTTAGGGGCACAATGTAAATTGATCAAATAATGTGTTTTCTGTAATAAACGTGATGCAAATAGACATTTACAAGCAAATTATTTAATGAATTTGTATACAAAATGTACAGAAAGGTAAAATCATCAAATTTTGAAAAAGTATTGCAATTTAATTTTGTCTTTAATGTTATTATCTTATATATATTATCTTTGCAATATGATTATCTTATATAATGTTATTACTATCCTAAAACATTCTCCAGGTCCTCTGAAACTCTGCAGGACTTATTTCCACTCTGCCCAACAGCGGTACCATGGCGAACGGTCCCAAAACTGCGGGGAGAACAGAGCAGGCTTCCCCGGAAGTCCACCGCTTTTCCCAGTCCCTCTTCTCCGCCACACTTTGACTTATTCCCACCCAGCCGACAGCCTGGCCATGGAGAACGGTCCCTAACTGTGGGGAGAATGGAGCAGGCTTCCCCGGAGGTCCGCGCTTTTCCCAGTCCCTCGTCTCTGCCACACTTTGACTTATTTCCCCCCAGCCGACAGCCTGGCCGTGGAGAACGGTCCCTAACTGCGGGGAGAATGGAGCAGGCTTCCCTGGAGGTCCGCCACTTAACCCGGTCTGTCTCCTCCGCACTTTGACTTATTTCCACGCTGCCGACAGTGGGACTTATATTCATTGTGCCAATAGTGGCTTGGAAAACCACCCATAACCATGTCACACGGGGAAGAGGGAAGGCAGCTGGAGTTCCTCCAACATTTGCAGTCAGATTATCATATTTTTTTATTGAAAAAAATACAGGCTGCTTCGGCTGATTTTTTTATGCGCACATGTGCCCCTAAATATTTTTTTACAGTTCGCACACACCTATTTTTAGTCGCAAATGCAAGAGAAATGCTCGCACTGTTGAGCGCTGAAAGGAAATTACCACAGTGGCACACGTGCAGTACAGCGCTGTGCTGCATGTGTGGGAGACAGAGCTGCTTGATTGGATCAGGTGAGCATTTGTTTGTTAGTTTGTGTGTGAGGTGAATCATAGCATATCGCTGTTCTTCTTGGTAGTTGTAGTCTACAGTGTGACACTGAGACAGCGCCTGGATGCAGGCAACGGGTGCATTTAAAGAAATGCAGCGACAACACTAGACTCACAAGTCAGTCTTTAGACGCTTTGCTTAACTAAAGACTGATGACTTTCTCCCTGATTTTGTGTTTAGATGGGCGGATACAATTTCAGAGTTTAAAAAAACTCCCTACGTTGCAGAACCAATAGTAAATCAGCAGGGCGGTCCTTCGGTGGCTCGCTGAACTCTTGTGCTCGTAAACATAGTCCGACTGCCTTAAAAGTTTTAAACAACGTCGCTGTAAGTCCTTCATTTCCACAATCTTGTGGACTGAGCACACGTTTGATAAAACAGAGTTAAATCTCTCGGCATCCATTTTCAAGCTCGGATGAGAAAAGGGGGAGCGCACATTTCCAGGAGGGCGTGTCCTTTTAAAAAATGCAAGAGCGTTGCTTTGTTGCCGGCCATTTTCTCCGGTGTGTTAAACACACTTTAGAAAGGAGTGTCCCCAGACTATCAGAAGGCGGAGATCTCTGATTGTCTGGTGGCGAGACTACGACAACACAGACATTTCATATATAAGAAATATATAGTGCAGATATAGTGCAGACAAAGTGTCTCTTACTCCTTCCCTCCCTCAGCCTCTGTAAATGTTATGTGCAAAAATAAAATTTATAGCCTAAATAAATCAAAACTAGTAAAACCATTTTCCAGTACTAGATTCATTTGGAAGGCCATGGAAAACTTTTTAACACTCCTGACAGATTTTTCATTGTTTCAGACAACATAGATTCAGGCCTACTTGGTACTTCTATACTCATGTTTTAGTTTTGTGGCCTGTGCTGCAACCTTTAAACCTCTGTAGCTCCAGTGCTATGTGCAAAAATTTAATGTACAGCCCTGCTATTCATTTTATATCATTTTTATATACATGTTGTGCAGCTGTATATTTTCAAACAGGGAAAAAAATCCTGTCTTTGTATTTTATTTTGATCAGTGTCTGTTTTTTTAAAAATGCTTGTGACATAAGAATTTCTGTCCATATCGTCCAGCCCTATCCATGAAACAGCTCTTACTATGGTCACCAATGATTTATTGCTTGCCGCTGACTCTGGGAGTTAATTCTGCTTGATTTGAGTTCCACATTTGATACAGATGATCACGATATCCGCCTTGAAAACCATGATGGTATTAAGGACACTGTTCTGCTGGGTTTTGCTACTCTCTCTGACAGATCTTTCTCTGTTGCAAAGTGAAAATTCTCCTCATCCTCATGCCCTCTCCCATGTGGTGTTCCCCAGGGGTCAATTCTTTTGGTGAGATAATCTGTAGGTATAATATTTCTTTCCAATTTTATACAGACAATGTGCAACATTATGTTCCACTGACTGGTAGTGACATAGACACATTTTCCCAAGTTATGGCTTGTCTGTCTGATATCAAATGCTGGATATCACAAAACCTTCTATTTGCCCCCGCTGAACCTGACCTGTACCTTGAGAATGAATTTTAAAATCCCATCCTCCAATGTAAAGCATTCCGCCTGCAGTTCAGGTGTGCTCTTTGACTCTGAGGAAGTCATCCATGCTTTCATCTTGTCACGTCTGGATTGATGTTACTCCCTGTATTCGGGGCTCGGCCTCAAGGCCGTCTCCTGCATCCAGCTAATTCATAACACACTTTTAACAAATATAAGAGACGACACCATCTCTCCCTGCCCTCCCCAGATAGGACCCTCCTAACTGTTCCAACAGCCTGCCTCATTACAGAATGAATGAAGTGTTTTATGTTAAGAGCCCTGTGGCTGTCAAACTCCCTACCTGAGGGACTTAGGTAAGCGAACTCCGTGTCTTCTTTTTAATAACTCCTCAAACCCTTCTTTCAAAGGAGGCTTTTTAACAGTGAATCTGTTGTTTGTCTAGTTTCTATCCCTCTTTTATCAATTTAATTTCTTAAATAACCATCATCAAGTCTTATGTTCTGTTTTTATTTAAGGTTTTGTTTTTATTTTGATTGTGTTTACTATTTCATCTTGTTCTGTTAAACATTTTTGTAACTGTGTTTGCAAAGGGTTAAACAAAGTTAATTATCATTTGTTTAGACTACCTAGTTCTAACAAACTAAATGCAATGGGAATGGATACTGTTTGATCGACATATTAGTAATGAGTAGGATTTGTAATAAAACTGTAGTTTTTCAGCACTTTGTGAAAATAAAGTTATCTAATTCCTTTATTTATAATGAAGGCAGGCTCATATCTGACAGTGAAAAACAGGGTTTAATGAACACTGACCTAATAAATGAGTTTGTAATCATACAGTAATGTATTCAGTGGAGCATGCTACTCCATAAATTATGATGCAACACTGTTACAACACATAAGATTAGTTTTTAGAATCTTGTTACCGTGGTGATAGGATAGATGGGGTTTATGATGGTGAGCAGCAGCACACTGTTGACGCTCCGAGTGTCGTCTGAGTCTCCTGGCCGGGAGATCTTTTGGCTCGTGGAGTAATTGATGAAGGCGGGGTGGCCTGCAATGTAAACCTGGTTTTCTGCTGCATATGTAACAGCATTGCAGGAGCCATTCATGTCCTCATACTCCACCAGGGCCTGGCGCTTCTTGGGCATCATAACCACGTAACTGTAAATAAAGATTTTAAGTAGAAAGGTAAGAGGGCCCAAAGGCTGGATTACTGAACCATGCTTCATTCATAAAAGCATGAGCCGCATAATTGTTTAAAATCATTGGCAACCTGGTTTAACTTTTGCTATAACTAGTTCAATTTAAATCAGCATTAGGGATATTTTTCAAATCAACACAAACAGAAGGGATTCTGAGTAACAGAGCAAAAGTTAAAAGATAAGAAGTCAACTAGCGGCTGGTGAAAAATCAAACATCTAACAGGCTAAAGACCAAGATAGTCACAAAGAATTTGGCAAACTAACCCAGAGCAAACTAGAAGGGCACCCTGAGACCACAGACCTCCACCAAGGCCAAATGCCTGGCCTCGCAATGTTGAAGGTGCAATACATGACATTTTAAACATTTATGTAGCAACATTAAAATATGTATTAGGGCTGCATGATATTGGGAAAAATTGACATTGTGATTTTTTTGCCCCCAGCGATATACAGTACAGGCCAAAAGTTTGGACACACCTTCTCATTCAATGCGTTTTCTTTATTTTCATGACTATTTACATTGTAGATTCTCACTGAAGGCATCAAAACTATGAATGAACACATGTGGAGTTATGTACTTAACAAAAAAAGGTGAAATAACTGAAAACATGTTTTATATTCTAGTTTCTTCAAAATAGCCACCCTTTGCTCTGATTACTGCTTTGCACACTCTTGGCATTCTCAATTCTAATCAGAGCAAAGGGTGGCTATTTTGAAGAAACTAGAATATAAAACATGTTTTCAGTTATTTCACCTTTTTTTGTTAAGTACATAACTCCACATGTGTTCATTCATAGTTTTGATGCCTTCAGTGAGAATCTACAATGTAAATAGTCATGAAAATAAAGAAAACACATTGAATGAGAAGGTGTGTCCAAACTTTTGGCCTGTACTGTATATTGAGATCATTTTTTTTTCCTTTTCTTTATTACACATTTATTTGTTTATTTTTGGTAATCTGTATGGAGCACAACAACCTCAAAGCCACAATACATCAGCTACACTACCTGTTTTTTTTTTTGTTTTTTTTTCCTTCTCCTTCTCCGCATGCACTGTCGCTATATAACTCAGGACTTAAGCAGCTGTCCCTCAATCCCCCCTGCTTGTCCCTTACTTTCCCCTTGACACACTATGGTGCATCACGGCCCTCTCTGGCTCATACTAGGAAGTTTTTCCAATAAAGGCTGATAGGCTAGTCTCCAGGGAGGGTGGGTGACGGTCACAATTACGGACAGTATGGGTATAAAATACTTGACTGCAAGACTAACAGTGCATCAATCTTCATAAAAAGCTTACACCCTTTTGTGGCGCTAAGCTACGAAGACTAATGCAGACAGGTAAAAAAAAAAAAAAAAAAAAAAAAAAAAAGGATGCATTATTTTCCACCAGATGACTTCAGTAGCTCTACTTGGTGAGAATTAATCATTCTGGAATTATTAGGCTGATATTGCTTTGAATGCAACAGCATAAAATGTGCTGAAAATAGGCAATTGTTGAGTGAAACCACCATCTCTTTCAGTGTTTCCCCTATATGCAACTAGCAGCAGCACACTACGCTGATGATTTTTCTTTTCTTTTCTTTTTTCGTCTTAGCTCTTTAGAAACTAAAGTTATATTGTTTTGCTTGACAGATGCTTCATTAAATAACATAACATTATACTATTTATCGTGTTATACAGTGAAACGTTTCACCTCATAAAGTGATGACTTATGTTGTTTACACGACGGCATGTCATTTCTGTCTCTACATGGTTGCACCGTTCCAATTCTCCTCTGCTCTTTGTATCGCGCACGGTGGAGTTAGGCCCTGATGCACGCATGCACGCACCCATCTAACTACCGGCCAATAACCTGCCTCAGTACAACAAGCTCCTGTCAGGCATCATAGCAGCTAAGATGAATAGGCACATGGCCCAATACATGAGCAAGGCCCAGAAAGGAATTGGTAGTAATAGCAGGGGAGCCAAGCACCAGCTACTGGTCGATAGAGCAGTCACCCAAGACTGCAAGACCAGGCAGACCAACCTGTGCACCACCTGGATTGACTAAAAGAAAGCCTACGACTCAATGCCACACACATGGATACTTGAATGCTTGGGAATGTACATCATCAACAGGACAGTAAGAGCCTTCATCAAGAACTAAGTGGGGCTGTGGAACGACTCTGGAGGCCAACTCAAAGCCAATTGCACAAGTTACCATGAGTGCAGCATATACCAAGGTGATGCACTGTCCCCACTACCTTCCTGCATAGGCCTGAACCCCCTCAGCCAACTCATCACAAAGATACAGTCACCTCCTTTACATGGAGTGAGCGAGACAACGACTCACTGATCCACCTCACCAGGATCTACAGCATTGACATCCAAATGTCATTCGGACTAGATAAGTGTGGTCTGATGGTGTTAAAGAGAGGGAAGATGATCAGGTCTGGGGGCAAGGTAGAGCTTAGATTTTCTGCCCGAGCCCAAACCCAATGGGTTGGACCATAATGTCCTGCCACTATCCTCAGGCTCAGACGGGTCGGGCTCCTCTTAATAGACCTAGGCTATGGAACCAACTACTTAACACACCTGGGGGGTGGAGCCGCGATTCATTAACGGGTGTGGGCGGGTGCTGCTTAGACATAATGACTAACAGGTCAGTTCTGGCAGGTGCAGGTTTTCAAAAATGGACTCTTGCAGGACTCTAGACTGCAGTCAAAGACACACAGTGAGAGGGCTAACTGTTAGTGTCACACAGCTAACGTTATCCAACGGTTTTAATAACAGTCAAGCTGTTTGCTGTCGGTGTGAGTTTAACAGCTCTGTGTCAGGTGTTATCTGCTGCAGGGCTTCTGTCCAAGCCGTAAAATATGACGAGTAGTGATGAGATCACGTTGCGGACCATCTGCGTGCAGTAACTTGCTGCTTCCTCTTAATCCACACAGTCTGTTTTACACAGCCAAGGAACTCGCTATGCTAAACTGCTGAAAGTGAACTTGCATTATCCTCCAAAGCTGAAGAAAACTGTTGATAAAAAAGCCATCACCACACCAATTATATGGAAGTAAAAAGAGACAAAGCACAGATTATGACAGTCATCAAAATATGCCATAGGTTGGTGCCAGCCAGGAAAGGAAACACAACAAATTGAGGATTACGGGTGTAACTAAGCTTCTATAAAGTCTGGATGACCACTTATTCCTTTACCTGAAAAGGTACCATCACTGTGACCACACATTTTTTTAATATGTTACTAGACAAGCCAACTTGTATTGTTTTTAAAGCAAATAAAGCAATTTTTTTTCTTTTAGGAATCAAGTATTTTATCGATTTTTCTGGCAATTAATCAAGTCATGGGTTAAGAAATACTGCATGTTTTCATTAAATTACTTTAGCTTAACTTAAAGGCAATAGTAATATATATAAGTGAAAATAATAAAAGTCTCTGAAATTAGATAAATGAGGAACAAATTTGTTCTTGCTCAGTTGAAGATGGTGGAGCCCTCTGCACAAAGCTGTCCAAAGTATGACTCTATTTTTAGAGTATATTTTTTAATTGGCCCTTATAAAAATCATACTTTAAGTTCCTATTACTGGCCAGTTTAGACTCATTCATTGTGGTCAAGGGGTGCCTTACACCTGCTGACCCTACTGAGTGCAATCCAAATTAATATAACTGCTGTACTTATTTGTGCATTTAGGCTCCATTTTCAACTCTCTGTGTGTGTCCGAGAGTGATTGGCTGCGGTTACATGATGGCTCTCATTCGGAATGAAATAAATCTGAATGAAATCATTCAGAATTAAACTTTTTCCAGGTAGTTTACATGGGAAATATTCATTCCGAATGAGGGATTACATGGGAGATCAGTTCAATCGCCTTTCTTCAGGGTTTCTGATTGAATAGGGGGCGGGGCGGATGTTACATCTTTACGTTTACCGGAAGAAAACACTGTAGTCCTAGCTCTGGATAACAAGATGCTTGACGACGTCGTTCTTAGTGCCTTTTTCGGGCATGTTTTGCTTATATTCTTGAAGCAGCAGTACGACAACAACCTTGTCCTGCTAATGCTTCATCTGTTGAGGAAGAGAAGGGAGGTAGAAGACCATGCTGTGGCGAGTGGAAACCGGTGAGTGCAACGAGTCCGACTTCTCTAGTCCGTTGCTATGCAGCCCGTTGCTATACGCGCTATATATATCTCATCGCGCCAGAAGGGCAAGGAAACGAGCATGCGCAGAAAGACCGGAATGAACTTAAAGAGGAATGAGTGTATACATGCACACAACATTCTTTCATTCGGAATGACAAACGGAATAAACCACCCCCTTTAATCGGATTTAATTTTCAATCGGAATGACCATTTCTCAATCGGAATGACCGTTTACATGACCACTTTAATCGGAATGGCCTTTCATTACGATTAAAAGTGGAATTAAACTGTCCATGTAAACGTACTGATTGAAGGGGTGCATGTGTCAGTGAGTGAGTAAGGGGTGCATGTGTGTTAATGTGTGTGACTAACAACATGAATGAAGCTAAGGCTTTAACAAACTGACCACAGCATTTTATTTTCCATGGGCTGCGCTATTCTCTAGCAAAACTTGGCTAATACGCACAATACATTGGCAGGTAACATTAGCCACCGCATTGATTTCTGTTACTGATCAGCTGTTAGCCCCTTTTACACTGCCAGATTTTCCACAAATGTTGGGTCATTTTGCCGGCAAGCTGTGAGCGTTTAGACACACAGAGCCGGATTGGCGAGTTGATCCGAGGTGCTCAATTTTCCGCCTTGGAGGGTAGTCATATTGGTGGAACCCTTTTAGTTTAAAAAGACCGAGGCGGCCTTCCACAACGGGAGGGGCTGTTGAAGACTTGTGGGAGGAGCTGTTGATGACGCCGCACGTGCAACCCACTGGTGGTGGATAAACAGGAAACAGCTGATAGCAGGAATTAGAGAGCAGCTAGTAGCAAGAGGGATACGCAAACCTAACAGACACTGTAAAGATGAGCAACTGGGGAGACAAGGAACTGCGCGCCCTCCTTGTCCTCGCAATTGAAGAGTGCATTAACCGTCAGATGATGGGGACAGCAAAGAACGGGCCGACTTACAAGAGAATTGCCGAAAGGACTGACTAGCCGCTGCTTCCCTCCCACGTCACTGTTTACATCACACGATGAGCTACATGTTTTGTTACTTGCTCACGCCCCCCCCATTGCCCTGAAAAAGGTGCATTCTGTATAAACAAAAGTAGGTAGGCGGCATTTTGCCGCACTCCCCGATTTTGTTTTTATACTGCCAATGCTGAAAGAAAACTGATTGGGCTATCCTGCAAATTTGCACAATTCCTGTTTAGTAGTAGCTCAGTCCATAGGGACTTGGGTTGGGAACCGGAGGGTCGCCTGTTCGAGTCCCCGTCTGGACCAAAATATAGAGCGTGGACTGGTGGCTGGAGAGGGGCCAGTTCACCTCCTGGGCACTGCCGAGGTGCCCTTGAGCAAGGCACTGAACCCCCCAACCACTCGGGGCACCTCACCAAGGGCAGCCCCCTCACTCTGACATCTCTCCACTTTGTGCATGTATAGGTCCTGTTTGTGCATGTGTGTGTCTTTCGGACCTGTGTGTAATTGACAAGCAAGAGTGAAAACATTGAATTTCTCCTCAGGGGGATTAATAAAGTAATTAAACTTAAACTTAAAAAAAAACCTTAAAAGGGCTATTATAAAGCTATAATACATGTACGTTTTTTACATGCGTTATGAATCTCTGCTAGCAATCACTGATTACGGTTAAATGCAATTAAACGTGATGTTAACATACGCTGTTGTGTCGGGTATGCGGGATGCGTACACTGGATGTTTTCCACTTAGATGTTACAGCACTGACAACATGCTATTGTGGTGTGCTAACTTGCAATACACACTGAACTGTTTTCATTTTGTTTTAATTTTAAATGATCCCACACTCTTGACACCTTCTGTCGTTTCCTTTGGGGTGTATCTCGCTCTTTTCTTGTCCCTCTTCTTCCATGTCTGCGCTTCAAATCTACATTACAGCTGCGTAGGCTATCAACAGTGAAAGTAACAAGCGCGGTGTGCAACAGAATCAAGCAACAGAATAAACCATCCAAACACAGCGCACTGTATAGTTGTACTCGATTTAATTAAGTAATTTAAATTAGTTAAATAATTTGCCACAAGGCTGTTTAGTAATCGAATTATTTGAGTTACTCAAGGAATTGTTTCAGCCCTACAAAATCCTCAAACCAAATACCACCTAATATATTCTAAACCAAGCCATGTTTGCACAGTTAAAGGTCCCGCATTGTAAACAGTCAGATTTCCATGTCTTCATTATTATGAGGCAAGAGTGGGTTATATGTAAATACTGTGAAACTATCAAAACCCTGAACCCACCGAGAAATGCACGCAGTCCGTTTTCAGAAATGGTCAGGGCTTCCATGAATTTGTGATGTCACAACTATGATATATATATGTAGAAACTGTCACCAGCTGCAATGACAGCTCAAATAATGCAGTTGTGAAAGATGTTGGAAAAACTGACCAATCAGAGCAGACTGGGCTTTTTAGGAGGGGTCTTAATAGTATATTCAGGCAGACAGTAGGGGAACATACTGTTTGTTTGTTTTTTACTTTTTTTTAATGCATTTAAGCATGTTCTAGTAGAACCCCAGATACAAGCATAAACCTAAAAATGACACAAAGGAGGGACCTTTAATGTTTATGTTATTCTATTTCATGTTAAACTGTATTTAACTATACTCTAAAGTTCAATTAATGAACCCTGTGGTTTTTATCAGGCTTCATTTATCAGAACAGTCTTCAAACTGGCAGAATTATCGAATTATATATCATGATAAATATGGAAAAATTATCATGCTATTTTTTGGCATATCATCCAGCCGTATGCCCGCTCTCCAGCTGACACATATTACTTCCCAAGAGTGTTATGCCTGGTCCCGCTCTACTGAGCTGTGACTGGCTAGAACTCATACACCAAGGCCTTACTGTCGGAGGGAAAGAGGTCACGGTGGGGCTAGTACTAGCCAATCATGGCACAGTGGGGCAGGAGTCTTGGGAAGAAAACAACAGAGACATATAGATGTCATCGATTCAGCGCTGGTACAACCTCTGCTGTCGGCTTAAAGGATAGACAACTGATTCCGTGATTGCACCTTTTTATTAAGAGCAGTCATAGCAGCTTCATAAGATGACAGTGAGTCAGGACTGTGTTGTGTGTAGGGCTGCCATAAACGATTATTTTCATTGTCGACTAATCTGTCGATTATTCGACTTATCATTTCATCAAAAAATGTGTTAAAATGTTGAAAAATGTCGGTCTGTCTCGCCCAAACCCCAAAATTACATCATCTAATGTCTTGTTTCGTACTCACGCCAAAGGGTTTTAGTTCACTGTCACGGGAGAGTGTGTAAAGCTGCCAATATCTGAACATAAGAATTCTGGGGTACTTTTATAGTACTTTTCTATGAAAAATGACTCAAACCGATTAGTTGACTACTAAAAGAGTCACCGATTATTTGAATAGTCGATTAGTCATCGATTAGTTGACTAATCGTGGCAGCCCTAGTTGTGTGTGAGTGCCTTAATGACGGTACTATGAATGTTCACACATCAGGTCCCATGAAACCTGCAGCATAACAATCACATCATTAAGAAATGCAGTGAACACTGTGAGCACGTTATGCATAACTTAAAAGGTCTTAGGTGATGTTATTACCTGATGGCTCCAAACTCCTGCAGAGCCTCCACCAGGTCAGCCTCCATGATTCCGTCCACCAAGCCCCTGATGTGCACCACCGGGGAGGGCAGAGGTTTATGAGGATCATCGTAGCTCTCCTAAAAACACAGACACACAACATAGTGCATGTAACGCTAGAGGCACATGACACTTGCGCTGCTGGTGAAAAGAAGATGGAGCAGTTGACCGGTGCAGACGATAGTTAAAGAGCAGCCCCAAACAGTGACTCTTATGAAATAAGTTATCGCGTGAAATATTAACGTTACTAACGTTATTCACGTCAGCTAACGTTGACATGACGTTTCATGCTGGCTTGGAAAAAAAGGCGAATTATTTACATCTTCTGTTTACATCTGCACATCCTATGGTTAACTATGGTATAATTTCTTTCAGTACAGGAAGTGGCATTTATGTGTCCTTGAGTATCTAATAACATTATTCGTGACTTAACGCTGTTATAGCTAAAGCTGACCAAATTAGCGTCAACGTGAATTGTCTTGCTTCAGTTAGCTACTTAGCTAAGTTAGCTTCTTCATTTTAGCTAGCTGCTAGATAAGCACTGCTTTCTCCAGCTAAATTCCCCTCTTAGAAAAGCAAAACCTCGCACATTTTAGCATAATAAAACACTAACTATCAAGGCCAGTGGGATACCCTCACCGTTGTCATTCCTCCGTCCTCAGTTTTCTGTCTTTTCGTTGCTCTGCCGCCTTCTCCGTAGTATCGGCCCGCAGCAGCAGCCATGTTGTCCTGTCCCCTGTGCCGGGTTTTTGCTGCATTCATGGTGTGTGGGAAAAATGGTAAACTTTACAGCTGAAAGCAACGACTCCATATTCCAGTGTCCATAGTTAGTAAGCGGTGTTTTCAGCTGTACATAAGTCTTGATGGGATCTTTCTGGAGTTCTTAAAACTATGTTTTACTCTGCAGATGGGACTAAGTTTCAAATAACTATGCATTTTATCCAGACGAATGCGTCTCATCTAATGGTAATCCAATGTCATCACAGCATTATTTTTTTGAATGAACAAAGGTTTACTTAAAGTTTATATTTACAAAGGTAAATGCCCTCTGACAACCCCTGTTACTCATACCGCTTTAATATGGAACTCATGAATTCGTGTTTACGACACGAAAGGTCGTATACACAGAGTTGCGAACGGAGAGTTCTCATAAATTTTCCAGCTACGAGGTCATGAATACCACTTAAAGAGGGGGGCGTTCATGTGGTCACCTCTCGTTATTATTGTTTCCCGTGACTGCAGCATAATCACACACCGCACACGTTATTATCGACACGTAACAGAGAATACCACCTAAATGAAGAATTCCAGTATGTTATTTCTGTGGTTCTGGTAAGTTCAATCAATATTTGTGATCTACTCTCTCTCAAAGCCAGAAACCAGAGAGGGAAGTCTCAAACTTGTGATGTTATAAAGTCTGGAGCTGCTCCATAGACAATGAATGGGAGCCTGACATAGTGGGCCCACAGCGTTTGTTTTCATTTTCATACCCAAATGAGCTTTACCCTATTGTAGTGTTCTCAGTTCCTAAACAGAAAATGTACTCATGTAGCCTACTCAGAACACTCAGTCATTAGTGTGAATGATGCTGGCGCAGCATTTACACTATTGTTATCCAGATCTTAATCATTATTTCTTCATATATGTTTTTAAGTCAGCTTTGCCTCATGCTTGCTTGAGTTTGACTCTCTTGAAATGTTGAGCTCTTTGAGGATGTGTGCTTGTGTGACACCTGACCAAACATTGATTGAACAAAGCCAACAGTTAGTGTGCCATTACAGGCTTTTGTAACACTCAGGTCACTAACAGCAACTCTCTAAAAGCAGTTAAAAGTTGGCGCCAATCAGCAGGCTGATGCACTATAAGCATACTATCGGTGGATAACCAAAACTACACCCAAGATAAACCCTTTTTTTTCAACAGAAAAACATCCTTACTACCACCAGTACCATGGCAAACCTTAAATTATATCACCACAACTCAGCAGGTTAACTCTCACTGCACTAGGCACTCCCTTGATGGAAGACCAACCCCAGCTGCAGCACTACAAGATAAAACTATGAATTAATCAGTTCAATCAACTAAAACACAGGTAAAACAACTGAAAATGAACAATGTTGAGTAAACAGCACTAGCACTTTGCCCGTGAATTAAATACAACAGAACCACAGGCAAGCACAATTTAATATTTTAAAGAGATGTTCATACCTCGCTACTGCCACTACTCCTGGACTGTAATGACCCTTTACAAAAGAAACATTGTTGGCAGGCCCACATTTTACTATTCAATGATTTTGTAATGAAAAAAATCCCACAAATTACTATTTAAATAAAAAATACCTATGGATGCATTTGAACACAACATTGCCTATAACAATAAAATCATTCTATTTAAAACACAAGGTTTGTTTGGGTCATCAAGGAATCATGCACACAGGAGAGGTCACAAAGCAGGAATGAAGCTGACACACCTATGTGCTTCATTAACCTCCTAACAGTTCAGGGGCCGTATTCACAAAACTTCACAGTACAAAAGTTGCTTCTAATGACAAAATTCTAAGAAAATTACAAGAATTGTGACATTTTCTTAGAATTCCCCCTTAAAGTTAAGACTAGGTCCTGGTAAAGATAAAAGTTATTCACAAAGTATCTTAGCCCTAAGGAAAGCTCCTAAAGTGAGAAACTGTTAGGAGCAGGGTGGAGGACTTTTAAGAGGCTTAAGAGTTTCTTAAGCAGAGGAGAAAATGGTGGAAACACAAAGAGGTTGGAGAAATATTCTCCAAATGCTGGATGACAGTGAGGAAATGAAAGGCTATTGGATCTTGTAAGAATAATGTTTATGGCTGATGTCATTTGAGATACCACACATCTCCCACCCAATGCAATAAAGCTGTAATGCCAGAAACAAAAATGATCACAACAATAAGATATTTGGAAAACTGTAAAAATGCAACAGTGCAGCAGTGATGACTAGGATCTGTCTCAACCTTCCACCAGCAGGGTAATCACTCAAACAATTATGACAGTTTCACAGTCTCATATTTTGATGCAGTTCATTTAATTTCCACTGGGTGTCCACACCTTGCAGACTCACAAAAGGGCTTGTCTCTGACAACCAATCACATCTTTTAAAAAAAATGCATCATACCTAGCAACGGGGGTCAACCACACCTACTTTCCTAAGTGTCCAGTTGGTTTTAAGATGTTTTCAAAAGTTAAGGCCTTCTTCTCACATCTTAATCTTTCCATTTAATCTTTTCACATTAATTAATAAGTTAATTAAATGTTTGTTGATGCAGCGGGTAAAGCACATAGAAATTACAATTGGACATCTTGAGAACTGCAGGGCTGAAGATTCTAATCCCAGTTTTGGAAAGCTTTTCGTTGAGGAAATAAACTAGACCGCCTCATTTTGATGCACCTATGCAGAGATGGGGGACTCAAGTCCTATGACTTGAGTTGAGTCTGACTCTAGTTGCAAATTTGAGGACTTGAGACTTGCTTGACTAACACTGATGAAAGACTTGACTTTGACTTGGTAGGCTTGGAGAAGTATTTAAATGCTTTTCTCTGGTAAAGGTAACTAATACCACCCTGTAAAAACACTATGTATGATGTTGAAAATGCCCTTTAAGTAATACAAGTAAAAGTACTGTAAAAATGTCCCCTGCTACTGTTGTAGGCTACTACTACTATATATGATATCATGATATTATTCTGACTTGAGCATTAGTGTAAAAGAAGGATTTTACTGTAGTATTTGGTTGAGGTGGAGCTCATTTTGAACTAGTATTAACTAATTAAAATTTTCATTATACTATTTTATCCATTAAGCGACTGATTGTTTGGTTTGTAAAAATTCTGGAAACAGTGAGAGATAGCATCACCAGAGGGCATCACACATACCCAGAGCCGAAAGTGACACCTTCATGATGTTTGTTTTCTCCAACCAACAGTTCAAACCTCAACATAATAATTATTAAATAATAAAAAGCAAAAGCAGCAGCAAAAAACAAAACCCATTTTCCATTTTCATATGTTTTGAATGGAAAATCTTAATTTGTTAAGAAACTAAGTAAAGCCATCAGATATATGTAGTGTAGTAGAGGCAGACGGTGGCATGAGAAGGAAAGACTCAGATTGTACAGTATCTGAGTAAATGTGTTAAGTTACATTTCACCAATGGGTGCAGTTTATATTATCTTTATGAGTTTGTGAGTATGACTTGACTTGGAACATGCTTGACCTGAGCAATCACTTGACTTGACTTGCTGGACTTATAGCAAGGACTCGACTTGACTTGCTTGATTTTCACCACAGTGACCTGGGAGTTGAAGGTTATGACTTGAAACTTGCTTATGACTTGCACATCTGTGACTTACTCCCACCTCTGCACACACACAAATATGTTAAAAATGCTAATATCCTCCATATATTTCAAACATTATTAGTTTTATTCATCTTTTACATATATGCATTTACACAAACTAACACACAAATGCATAGTGTTCATTTTTGTGATTCTTGCTCCTGCGGTGTAACTGAGTGACTACACTCTCAGAGATACAGCTTAAAACCATTGAAAAATAAATTTGAATCTGTGGCCGTATTCACAAACATTCTGAGAATACTCTTAGAGAGCTGCCAACCTAGCCAAGGCATTTCTAGCAAGGAATCTTAACTTAGTGACTATGTTAGAATCTACAATGTATGCAGTTTTTACTTACTGCAAAATAACAATGGCAGAGCTCTCTGGGTTGACCTCTGTCTCTGGCAAATGCAGTGAATGGCGTTTTGTTTTATCTCCATGGCAATGGATATATGAGGAAGAGGGTCAAAGTTCAGGGAAGAGGAAGCAGTGCAGAGGCAGGGCAAGAGTCCTTCCTAGCATTCAGTGAACACACTAGTGTTGCACGGTATACCGGTACTAAAATAGTACCGTGGTACTAGAGTATTCCAAACGGTACTATACTGCATTTGGAAAATACCGGTAATTTGAAATTGATTCAGTTCATTAATTTAGTTAATTTATTTTACTCAGTTATGCACACAAACGCCTTCCTTGTTCCTATTGGAGCACAGATTGCACAAGTGGTGTGTACGACAACACCTGTATCAACATTCGCAGCTGGCGTACGTGAAAAAAGACAAGAGAAAGTCTGCCTCACAAAGGGAGACAACACCAACTTGGTGAAACATTTGAGCAACCAAACCGTGACGTCTGTACCGAGGTACTTACCGAACAATGATTTTTTGGTACCGTTACACCCCTACTATTTATTGTTCTAAAGGTTTGTAGCCAAAAGGACTTTTCCTTAGGAAAAGTACCGAAAAGTATCGAAAAGTATTGAAAAGTATCGAAATTCATATTGGTATGGGTACCGAAACAAAGATTTTGGTATCGTGACAACACTAGAACACACATTGGAACAGGCTAACGAGTGTCCCCACGTGATCGTCATTAGTCCTCTGGGCCCAGTATTTCAAAACTTTTAATCTGGATCAGACTGGTCTGGATAGGATTAAATCTCAAAATTGGGTATTTCAAACCAGGATATGTGATCCTGATCCTAGTAAAATTGGGATATGGATTTGGTAATCCAATCCTACCCAGAATCCTGATCAAATGCTGTTTTTGGGTATTTCAAAATTCTAAGGTGGAGATTGGGATAGTTTTGAAGCTAAAAATCAGGATTATCCTGATCCCACTGGAAGGGTGCATCAAGCATGGATTCAAGGTGGATGTAGAGAGATGTAG